AGGTAAAAAGTACCTTCCGTGCTTCAATCGTTCACAGTATGGACAATCTACGACGATCTTTCTTCTGCCGCCCACTAACGACACTTCTTTCTGTCCCGATCGATGATATTGCTTCGACAAAGTCAATCCATCTGTGTCACATCTTCTGTGCTCGACTGTGATTACAATCTCCTCACATTTATCAAAAAGGTGGTGCAATTGCGCATGCACCAAACTGTCTACCCTGTACACTAACTCGTCCCTAAGTGCCGCATCGATTTCTAACCGATTTTGAAAATGCTCGAGTTTGCGTGAAACTTCGGGGTCCCAAAATTCTTCCCGAGCAGTGAACAACACGTTCATTGTCGTGTCGGTGATCTTCACTACTGTAAAAAGTGTCACTACGGCCTTGCCTCTGTTCCATATTCGGATTCGACCGTAGTAGTCCATCATCACCGGTGCGAGCAATGCTCTTCTCCCGATGCAACGCCACGCGCATACTTTTTGTTCAAATTAGTCTTTGGCATCCCAGTCCTGTTTCCTGCATACCTCCCTCCAGTTTGCTAGCATCTCCAGAGGATCCACAACGTCATTTTTCGACATAATGACGCACGCCTCATCCAACTTAGTGTACATGTACCAAACATTCGATCCATTGTCGACGACAGCTGTCTCCTCTCCGTTGACGAGACCCTTCATCGGCAGAAGCTCTCCATCAGGCCCAACTTCTTCTTCGACATTCATGTAACCATAATTCTCAAATTCTTCTATGATATCGACCGACCAAATGTTAGTCCCTAAAATAATCAGATCCTCAATTGTCGACGGAGCGTGATGAGGGGATCCGCTTCCATGTGAGCTTGGTTGACCGGCTTCCATCCTGCAAGTTTAGTGCGTAGACGATCAAGATTCCCGATAAAAACAGAAAAACACGCCGGACTCGCTATATATACATCGTCTCTAACTGTATCCTTTAAGCAGGAGGTCTGATAACCCGTCCGGTTCTTGTGACATACGGGGTTTGTTGCGGACGAGGTCGTGGACTGAAGCCATACAGAGCATTCATAGTCGATCCATATACGTGGATCTGCGGCTTCTGCTTTGTTGCATTATCGAAAACACCGACATGTATTTCAACCTAACGAACCCTCCCGTTCCTGCTAAGGACTTCCCAATAGCGTCTCGTACGGCCGCCGCTTTCTCTTCCACCTGTTGCCACAGTGCAGGATTTTCCATATGGCGTGCTCTCACTAGATCTGACCGTCCATCTGGATCCCAACGAAGAGGCAACCACCATCCCCGTGGCGGATGAATAAAGAGATGGTTCTGTGATACACACACAACTGCATCTACGAGTTTCCTAGATTTGTTTGAAGAAGCGACACATAGCACTCTTGCGAATTCATATCCAGTAAGACTCAACCACACGCAACAGTATGACACAGCTCGTGGATATATCCTTGGGCAACGCAACGGGTACTGCTCCAAGAATGAACAATGATTAGCTGTGTCTATTAGCTCTTGTCTCAACGAAGTCCTCTAAGTTCGTGGCGAACTCGTGATGTACTCGAAGTCGAGGGGAGTGATACAGCGGTCAATGTTGCGGTATGATTTACGCAAACGGGTGAGGAAAACAGGCTTGAGAAGACGATCAGGCACTGGAACTAGACTCCCGAACTCCAACATATTTGCAAACTTGTAATGGCTTGCCCAAGGGCAGGCACTCTCCATCGCGTTCCAATTACTATCGCTCCATTCATTCCCGTTCTAGATCGAATCCCGCTGGTCCATGCCTACGCCACGCTTCTGAGGTCTTGCCATCCGGGTTCTGATTCAGTTTTCACTCTCCACGTTTTATTCCATGCGTCTTCGTACAGCTTAGATAGCTTTTGTTCGCGACCGCATGGCCTCCAGTACTCCACGAAAATCCGGGTTGTCTCCTTCTTGATGACACGAGCAACCCAAAAGATGCACCCTTCTTGCACGTGGTCGTCCGGAGAGCGCAGAACAACGAAATCATCAAGCTCAACAGCTTTGTAAGGGTCGAATTCCGGTTTGGGTTCATCCTTCCTATGGCCCACAAAGCACGGTTTCCGAAACGGTTGTGGCAGAATGCACGAGACCGAATGCTCGGAACTTGGATCGCTCGGCATGGGCTTTGGCCAAAAAGAGTATGACAACGACACTGTTGTGGTCTCTTCCACCTCAATGTTGTCGAACTCGGTCAAACACTCCGTCCAATATCTCAGCCTGCTAGTTTTGAGTTGTCGCTCCTCTATTGTTTGTGTTTCCCATTCGTTCATTGCGTCCTTCCACGTTTTAACTAAAACGCGCAATTCCGCTTTGCCATTTGTAAAGTCGCCGGAAGCGGGGTTGGGCGACTCGCGGCACGGCTCGAACCCCCATTCGGGGCCTGCCCATTTCTTGTCTGCACTCCGTTTGAACCAGTATACCGGTCCCTTCTCAGGCCCCCAGTTCTTGTCGGTGCAGTGCGCTTTGTAGAGCATAGCCAGATTATCATCCTCCATGTAGAAACGGAAAAGGTGGGGTGTGGCATGACCTGAAATCAAGTTGTCAAGGTACGGCGAGATCGCGGTTTTCCAGTCCACCATTTCCGTTAGTTGGGTGCACTCCACTTGCTCCTCACATGACTGTTGCAACACCGCAAACAATTTTTCCATCGTGTACGCGTCGGAGCCGTTCAGTTTGCGAGCAAACAAACTAAACTTCGCGTCGATGTCGGTGTGGGTATGACCAACTATCATGAACCCCATCAGAATCTCCTTGAAAATCTTAAACTTCACCAACAATGCAADAAATGCGAAGACGAATCTGTTTTTGTTCTGTCCGCCGCAGTTATCAGCTTGGACACGAAGCAACGGCGGGAGTTTGCCTTCTCGCGCTTGCACGTCCCTCAAAACTTTGGCAATGGACGTAACTACTGAATTCGACCCGTGAGAAAGATAAGGAAACCAGGTRTGCACAATCAACGACGGATTCCTACCGTGAGCTATGATACCGGTGAGGTTCGTTTTCATCATCGTATTATTAGCCATCTCCTTAGACAAACGTCGGCGCGATGCATGGKGAATGGTAGTCTTTGCCTGATCCATTCCATCTATAATGATGCACAAACTTTGGTCCTTATGCAGCTCGGACTCTGCTGACCATCGGTCATACTGCTTGCGATGGGCCTTTTGCAGATCGAGGTGGCTCCTTTGCGCTGCAACCAGTTCCCGCCGTGGCCCCGACAGTGCTCCTTCAATGAGGATAGCGTTTTTTATGCACACGTTGCACCTCGCGTGGTCAGTCGTTCGAGCCAGCCTAACGTGCCAAAAATAGTCTCTCCATATCTTACAGAACACCTGATACAACGTGCAAGACGCACCCAGTTTGCCTAACCTGCGTTCGATGCTATTATAGACGTCTTTCTTACTACCATACACCGAAGGGAGACGAATACGGTTCCTAATCTCGAAATCCGGACCCGTCTCTGTCTGATCCGGCATAGGATCAGACTCGTCGAGGATAATATCCTCAAACGCAGACCATGTCAACGCATACTGCGTTGTTGTCCGAGGACGTCCCTCGTTAGCATGACCTGCATCGACGACTCCTTCGTTGAGGTCATCATTATGTCTTTTGTATGTGTTTCGGCCACAACCGAGTATCAAACACCATGCAGTGACACATACCGGATGCATCTCTACAATAGGTTTCACCTCCGACTTCCTTTGGATCAGAGACGTGAAACTACGAAGCTTGTCTATCCATCACTTGCGCTTGTCCTTGCCTCTAAACGATCTGAACTCGCGTCTGCACTTCTGGACCTCCACTACTTTCATTCTAGAGAGACACCTGTAAGACTTGCAACATGTCTTTTTCACAACGGCCTCGCACTCTTCGAGGCTGCATCTACGTTCATAGGTGGCATCCGACTCGTTCGATCCTCGTCTGCGCGTATGGTATGTGTACCTCCTTTTGCCTTGTCTACCAAACAACGAACACCGGGGAGGAACAGATAGTCCCTCCGCTGCGGCATCATCGACTTCTGAACGCCGATCTATCGACGCTTGCTCTCGTTCCTCTTGGTCTCTCAGCAGTTGCTCCCGTTCGAACTCGGCGATTGTTGTTTGGGAAAGTACGAAATCGTACGGGTCATCATCGCCGTCGCCCAGAGAAGGAGGGTGAACGAAACCCGAGGGGCACGGTTCTGTGGAGACACCGACGGAAGCGACTTCTGCACCTCCGTTGATGATATCTTCGAGACGGAGACGTCTAACGACGTTGTTGCCCGTCACCGTCAAGCGGCGACGAACACCACATCGTTCATGTGACCTATCAGTGGAGTCCACCCGACCCCGACGTTTCGATGGTGTAGCAAAGCCTGAAGGCGATCGACTTTCACCTGAAATAGCAATTTTGGCTTCATTTGGTGTATGAAGCAATCGAATGGATGGTTCGGATGTCATGGTCACATTAGCGCTCGACATGGTGAACCTGGCAGAGCGAGATAGGCACAACATTCGGCCGTGACAGAGTGAGAGTCTATCATTGACTTCTGTTATCATTCAGGGCACTCACTCGTCTACAGCGAATCTACCAAACTCACTTGTCCAGAACGAATCTACCATACGAGTGCGGTGTGCTAGCGACTGGGGTACCGCGTTTGACAAATGCTGTACCCCCGTTGACGGGGGTCGATCGTTTGACGAACGCAGGACACCCCCCCCCCACCCCCCGACGGGGGTCCAGCGTTTCGGTACACGCTGTACCCCAGTTGGGGGGTGTCCTACGTTTGTCAAACGCTGTACCCCCGTTGGGGGGGGGGGAGTCCTGCGTTTGACCCCCCAGCGATAGGGGTACCGCGTTTGACAAACGCAGAACCCCATGCGTTTGTCAAACGCTGCCCCCCCCCCCAACGAGGTCCAGCGTTCGACAAACGCCGGGGTCCAGCCTTTGTCAAACTCAATACCCCCGTCGCTAGGGGGTACCGCGTTTGACAAACGGTGGACCCCCCGACGATGGGGGTACCGCGTTTGACAAACGCTGGACCCCTGTCAGACAGGGGTACAACGTTTGACAAACGCTGGACCCCCGGCGTTTGACAAACGCTGGACCCCTGACGTTTGACAAACGGTGGACCCACCCCAACGAGGGTACAGCGTTTGACAAACGCTGGACCCCCGTCAACGGGGGTACCGCGTTTGACAAACGTTGTACCCCCACGAACGGGGGTCGAGCGTTTGACGAACGCTGAACCCCCGTCGAGGGGGTCCTGCGTTTGTCAAACGCTGTACCCCCGTCACCGGGGGTGCAGCGTTTGACAAATGCGGTACCCGCGTTGGTGGGGGTACAGCGTTTGACAAACGCGGTACCCCCGTTGGCGGGGGTACAACGTTTGTCAAACACTGGACCCCGCCAACGGGGGTACTGCGTTTGTTAAACGATGGGCCCCCGCCTGCCAGGCGAGGCGTGGCGAGGG